ACGAAACTCGGACTGACCAATATTCATCAGCTCCGGGAAAGATGAGGATTGAGCTCCAGGTGCAATACCGGGCTCGTCATCATCACGTCCTGAGACGGAATCATCATGGTCAGGACGATTAGCCCCATGACCCTGAGAGCGATTAGCTCTTGAGGCATTAGACGATAGCTCATCAGTGCGAGTAGCACTGGACCTTCCTGAAGGCATTGCTTCTGAAAAAGAGTGGTCCGACAAAAAGTCAGGACCGGAAAACATCGGCTGTCCGGGCACTTGGTCGTCATTCACAACGTCCAAGATTCCGGCCTGGCCGAGAACCCATTCGTCGGTCACCACGTGAGGTCCGTCCTCAGTGACTCCCGACATGACGCCTACAGAGACCTACGGTACCTGCAGGGTTATTATTAAAAGGGGTTCGCGGTGCCAACCGAGGACGAATCCTACGGCTGATAACCTGCGAAAGGGTTTGAAACAGAGTTTCGGGAGAGAATAAACAGGCCCTAACCCACCAACAAGAAGAGACAGTTTAAGCCCCCCAGTCCCAAGGGCAAAGTGGTGCCCTCGGCTGGCAATGAACCACACAGATAACAAACGGGGGATCCTGTTTAACCGCAAAACCCAAACAGGAAAGGGGACCAGCGCAGCCAACCAAGCGAGCGCAGCAAGCAAGCGAGCAAAGCAATTAACCAAGCAAAAGCGGAGCAGCAGCAACAATGCAATTTCCCAGAAATAGCCCCGACCTAGCACCACCTTAGCCACCTCGCCGCCAACCAGGCCCGCCGCACTTTTGCAGCGAGAGCGGTGGCAGCGCCAGAATGGCGCGAGTGACGTGCTAGCGGAGTTTTCCGCCGGAAACAAATCTTGAGCCAAATGGCGCATTGGCCATGGCAATGAGCAAACATGCTATGATAAATGTACATGCCCCCAAAAACAAATTATATATGTGACTTGCTCGCCCCCCCAAAAGAACAAACAAAATAACCAACCAACCAACCCAAGCCACCAAACCCTGGTAGAAGAAGACTAGGGTCCGTTGGGTTGAGGTGGGTTGACCATCTATGGGGAACCCACCAACCCCCCCAACCCAACCTCCTCCCCACCAACCCCCCCAACGCAACCCCCCCCCCGACCCAACCCAAGATCCCCAGCAACCAACCTCCAACCTGCTCCCCTCCCCTCCCCCTTCCACGCGACTCGCGCGCGCGCTGCGCTTGTGGCGCGCGCGCTTCGCTTGTGGCGCGCGCGAGTCGCGCCTTGGCGAAGCCGTCCGCACGGCCGCAGTACTCCAAGGCCCCGTCTCTCCACCGCGCCAGGTCCCGGGTCCTGACGCAACCTGGGCCTGGGGATTACCTTCTCGTCGGGTTCTTTGATTTGATTCGAGTGAGGGCCTTGCTGGGTTTCATGTCTGGCTTGGTTTGATCTGGTTTGGCGGGGTTGGTTGGGGAAGCCTTTGAAGCCAGCGGGACTTGACAGAGGGCACCGAACTCTTTAGCTTGGCAGAGGGACAATTCTCACCTGTGCCCCTTTCGGTGGACAAATCGCCCAAATCGCCAGGTGTCAAGCCAACCCAGCCAGGGACGCGTCCAAGATCCCGAATCCCGCGCCTGTAGTGGCGTACCAGGAGGCCATCCACCAGAAGGTCCACAAAGGCGCCTCCGGCTGAAGACTTTGCAAGGCGTTTCTAAACGAAGCGGGCGCTGGCCCAAGAACTGAACCAAATCAGCCACCGAGTTCGTGGTCATTTGCGGATGCCATAGGCTGCTTGAAGCTGATTAGGGCTGTTGTTAAGACCTCTGCGCCTAAATTGCAAAAACGAAACGTGGCATTGCAAACGCCGTCTAGTCAAAAAAAGAGACATGCAGTCAAGCAAAACGGAAAGGGAAGAACAAAGGAAGACTAAGATCTGACCCCAGTTTCAATGAACTCGCCAGAGACACAGGGGGATGGGACTCTTCTCTCACTGCTTTCCGACAGGGGGTGTGGTTCGCCAGGACTTCCCCCGGCCTTTGTTCAAGGCTGCCTTCGTGTATCCTTGGGCGCTGACCTGAGGGCGCAAGCTCATGCTATACACTTGCTGGTGCAATAGGTAGGGAATGAGATATGGAATGATCCCGATTTAAACCATCCAACTTGTGGTTTCTTTCCTTTGAGGGGACCGAAGGCTGGGTTCATTCCCACATTCCTTGCCTATCGCACCAGCATGTAAAGCCTACATGCTGTTTCAAGCTGCGCTTCTTTAGCTTTGACAATTGCCGCTGATCTGATCACATCACCTACCACAAACAAACAAGTCATCCAAGTTTCTGAAACGGGTGAGCCTCAGCAATGGTGGGTGGCCCTTATTTCTTTAAGCGTCCAAAACGCTGGGGGGGGGGGGGGGGGGCGGTCCCAAATGGAACTGCATCCACGTTCATTGGAGCCGAGTGGCCATGGGCCCAGCGATGTACAGCTCCCCTCAGACACCGACTCGATTCAAGGTGCCAACTTGGGCTTTGGTCCGCGAGCGATGCAAAAGCAGCAACCCCTCCGTCATCCCCGGCATCTTGCCTAGGTCCTCCAGTGCAGAGATTAGAATAAGGATACCCCTTTTTCTGTAGTCTGTTTGAGTCGGGAACCCTCCCCCCAAAACAGGGTAAAAGGGCACTACTGGGAAACCTAGCCCCGTCATCTTGCACCCCCAAACGCAAGGCGATCGGCGCTCCAACAAGCAAACAACACCTTGCGCAGGCACGGGGCCTATGGGCCGCTTGCTTCACCTTGCAAGCCGAGTCGCCAACTTCCCCTGCGCGAGCGGCTGACACTGCCAACCCCTGGACCCATAGGCAGGGTGTACGGTGCGTATGCGGGTGTAGGGTGTGACGCATAGCTGTATGGATGTCCAATCATGAGAGTGTATGCACCTATTTATCCCAAATCGGCCGGCCATCAACCCCTATTTGAAGAGAGATCCACATTGGATAAACCGCAGAATCATTGGCAGCCACTTAGGATTGAGGGATTCATTATAGTATCCAAGGACAACAGCAGGTACTCAGCCGAGGTACAGCCCTAAATATTGTAAGCAACGAAACCTCATCCAACCACAAGGCCGTGCTAACATGCAAACAATTCGAGGGTGTCCGTTCCCTTGGAATATTCAAGGCATCAACCATCGCAATGGGGCATGCAGCCTGAGATGCATTTGCCTTGCTGGCCTTGGCTTCCGTGTTGAATCCGATTCTCCTTTGTTGCGATTCCGCCCGACAAAGATATCTTCTGTGCCACGCCCAAACAACACCTCTTGAAGTGGAAGCTGAACAGGAACAGTCGAGGACCTCCACGTCAAGCTGTCTGAGTTTAAACGTTGCGGGGTTTTGGGCTTGACCCCGAGTTAGCGCTGCGAAAACTTGGCCATAAGTCTAAAATCCAAATCGTACCCCCAGTGAACATCCCAATGCAACCACTAAAATAGGTTCTAAAATGGGTGGTGAATTCACCTACTAACCAACATGGGATCCCATAACGGTTTTGACAACCACAAACATGTCATAAATGGATGGGTCGATGCTCGGATGCCGGAAACGCTCGAAACGCCGAGCCTGGTGCAACCTCCGAGTGGCTGTCAACCTCCTGAAGCAAAAAAAAGCGCGGCAGGGACTTGGTTGACGTTGGCAGGGGAGCAACAAAACAAATTTTAGCAGTTAAATTGGGACATCCCACTAAGCCACACACTAAGCAAAAATGTGAAGTGTTTCCCAGCAACAAACGGGGAGTGTGGCATCGCATGCGACTGCTTTCGAGAGATACGAACGTGTCTCTTTTTGAGGGTACTGTGTTTGAAAGGACAACCATGAGGAAAACCACGATCTTTTTGGGGTTGCCAAACCCATCCAAACTCAGACAATGATTCTTAAGCAAACGGAAGGCACTGCGAGGCTCAGCTGCAAGCACATTGACCGCCGAGTGGCCAATCCATTTGTGAGTTGAAACAAGCGCTGGGGTGAGACTCCTTTATGTCGCTATTTATAGCACAGACCAAGCAACATCATGTTGGATTTCACACAAATTCGAGGAAGAGTCATGAACCACCCAAAAAGCCTTGGCTCTTCGTCTGAACAACCTGGCTGCTGCCCTCCTTACACGCCCAGAAGTGTAGAAGCGCCCAAGTGCCCCCCACCACCCCCCCAACCCCAAACAGGTTCTATTTTTGGAGTACTCACGTGGGCCAAATCCTCAGAATTTTGAGGGCATGGTAAAAGACATGGCTCCTCCTCTCTGTGTGCCAGCAGGGTAAGGCGTGCGCCACGAACAGGCCGAAAGCCTGGCTGAGGCTAGCGAGCACAGGGGGCAAGTCCAAAGGCTCCAAAGTGGTGCTCCAGTGGCTGGCAGGCAAAAGCACATGACTCATTGGCCGGTACGTAAAGAGGACCCAGGGACTGGACTGCACTCCCATCATTCGCCGCAGCCGCAGATCCTGCCTGGCTTTCTGTGGTCTGCGCACAGCACCAGCCTCGTGAAACACTCTTCCCCGCTCGAAACCGTTCTGGATGCTTCAACGGACTCGCGTCTTGTCCCAAACGGAATACTCCAAAGGTAGAAACCAAGCAGCCAAATGTGTGTTGGTTTGGGGGCCTGTGGGTAATAAGTGAAATGCAGGTGCCAAACACATCAGCAACTCAAGTAAACGAGTGCGAGCCTTCCGCCCCAAAAGGAGAACAACATCCCTTGCAGCGGTCCTCCTTTGTCATGGCTATCAGCTAGCTTCTTCCCTCTTGACAGCTGGCTAAGGTGTCCAAGCATGTCCAGTGAATCTGCATTGTCCGGGTGCAGTTCACATTCGCTTCGAAATCAGGACATCCCAAAACGCGCAATTAACATCAGCTACAAACATAGCCACCATGGCACTTGATGAACTTGGCGTTCATTGCGGTGCCGGCAGAAACTTTGGACTTCAGTGGGGATGCTGCGGCCCCCTCCAGGCCCGGCAACAACCAAAGCTTGGGCTGCAAGTCGCTTCGCATGTCTCAGAAGGACCTGCCAAGGAGGCGACGGTCTGAAGGGTGCGCGCAGCTCTTTCCCCCGAGGCGGGTCCCATGAGGCTCCTGGGGTCTCCTCCCGATTTCTATTTCTCCGGACAAAAGGGGAATACACACAAAGAACGACACCAAAACTGGAATTTGCGGGGTCCACTGCCGATGTGCCTTCCATTTGCTTTTAAGCTCACTGGAAACAGTCATGATATGTCCAATCATGATAAACAAAAAAACAGCTTTAACAAACCACAGGGAAAAAAAAAAAAAAAAAAAACAGCAAATAGAAAAAAACCAAATGCAACGACTTCCGGCCGAAACGGATGGAAGTCTTGGGCCATTGCCCCGGGGCCCCTGGCCAATACTCGCTGGCAATGAGGAGATCCAGCAGCTGCACTCGCGAACTCCAGGCTTCCACCGTGGCTTGCCTCGACAGGGCGGTTCCCGGAGGCTGGGTTTGAGGCTCCTGTTGAACCTGTTGGCTCAATTGGCCGGCAAAAGGAAGATCGTCCCTTTGGGGGGTCAACCACTCATTTTGACACATTCTCACTATGCTTACACTTCAATACCCAACCGAAATTGAGTGACACCATATCCTAAAGTGGGTAGGAGGACTGGGCAAATGAGTCGAATTCTGGAAATATGCTGCATTTTGTTGGGGGGATTGCCCAGCTCAGAAACAAGAAAGCTGGAAAATCACATATTTCAAGGGGCTTCCTTATTTCAAATCTGGGCAAATCATCAAGTGGGAAAAAACACCCCCTAGAAACTGATTCCTCACCATGAATGAGCTCGTGTGAACCCCAGGTGAGCTGGTGATAAGCAATTCAATTTCGCCAGCCTGAATGCACCCCCCCCTCTAACCCCCAAGGCTTGCTACTGATGGAAACGGTCCCATTACTGCGGGCTGTTTACTAGCAAGGCGCCTTTGAAAGTTTTCGGTTGCGTGGGCCAGCGGTGAGATTGCGCAAGATGTTGCCAAGCTGATCCGATTCCAGCTGGATTTCGAAAAAATCCAGAGCTTACTGGCAACATGCGTGCCTGCCGCAACCTGGAAGTCGGTGGTTGTGCTTATCATGCTGGCAGTCAAGCCAGCATGCGGCTGCGGCGCGGCCCCAACAAACGAAGCTTTCAGATGTTGGTCTGTTTGGCTTGGTTCAAACGGAAACCAACAGGACAACCACAATTTCCGGGGTCTGTCATGTTGACACACACACACACATGTCCAGTACAGGTTTGAAGCAGTACCATACGATGCGCTTCTTTCATCTGTGTGAGCGTCTGCTGTTCCTCACCTGAACAAGCCAACAACACCTGCACAAGATAAATGTTATGAATGCATAGTCCCCGTCAAAAGCCCCTCACACGGCTGTGCATCGAGTTCTAGATGCGGGTATGGGTCAAAATTAAACCACCAGGGTGCCATTTTGGGTACCTATTGGAAATGCAAAAAAACAACTTGCGCCTTGCGCCAAGCGCTCCGCAAGCGAATCGCGCCCTCGCCTCAAGGGCTCACCCCAGGTGAAGACGGTTCCTCAGACCGAGGACAACCTTGAGTTCGATGCATCCCCTTACTTGGTTGACCTTGGAAGGGCAGCAACAAAATCAAATTTTAGCAGGTAAGTGGGGGTTCCCAACTAAACCACAACAAGCAAAAGTGAAAAATGGCTTGCGCAAGCCTCCGATGGAAAGAAGAAAACATTGGAGAGGCACCCCGAACGGCCAACTGGAGTGTTTGGGGCTCAAGTTGTATCTGTGTCCCACAGGAAACGACTCAGGAAGTTTCAGCCAAGTACCGTAGGGCGGATATATCTTGCTTGGCAAGGGAGAACCCTACTGCACTACATTGTGTGTTGGCCCGTTCGCTTCATTGAGATGCCAGGGTGGTTTGAGTATTCAAGCCAAAGCTGCAATTCTCTTGTCATGCAGGAGTAAAGAGGCGTTCATGAGCAGTACATGGATGATGGTTGAAAAGGCAAGAAGTAGCAACACAGCATTGCAAGAAAAACATATGCAGTCAGGAAGGGATATTAAGTTGCGTGGTACTGAGGACCCTGCCCACGCACTGTCATAAGGCCATAAAGCCTAGCAACACCGCGGCTGGCGCTATCCCATACTGACCTGAACCCGCAAAGGGACACCATTGAACCAAGTTGACTGGGGCTTTCAAACAACTGCCTGGGCCTCCTTTAAGCAAATCAAGCCCTCATTTAGGCTGCCTCCCAGCCCTGTCCATGCTCAGTTTTGGAACAAATCAGGGGCCTCAGCAGGTCCCAGTAGTGTGGAAGCGTTTTCGTGGTTCAGGATGCTGCCCGGACCCAGAACCCGATGCCGAGCATCGCAAACTCGTGCAGCGCTTCTCATCCAAGGCATCCAGCAGTGACGGCCTCTCCACTAAGGCTGCTCCGCTCACACGCGCCCCAAATCCAATACTTGATACCGATTGATATTAGACCACGCCTTCAGGCCGCCTTCACTGTCATCCCCCAGGAAAATAAGCGCCCAAATTAAACTGGCCAAGGGTTTCGGGTTCTGCTCAAGACTTGAAGTTCAAGAAACCCTGCAGACGGAGAAGCTATGGAAAAATAACGCGTGGTCCCCGTAGTGAACATCGAGAAATCAGTGAGACCCCCTTGTTGTCGCGTGAAGTTCATGTACCACAAAGCTATGTATGTATGCATATGTATATGTACGTACATGTATATGTATATGTATATACGAATAGATATATACTTATTACCAGACATATATCTATATACGTCACATAAATTACACATGTATACATGGTTGCTTCTCCCTCATTGACTGTGAGATTTTGACTGAACCTCTGGAGTGCAGGCCCCCGGGCACAAGCCCGGCCACCGTGATGCCGCGCTCTTCGATGGCGCGAGTGACCTGGCGTGACCCGAGTCACGCGTCACCCGACTTCGCCGCGAGGCGCGCCGGAAAGCCCCAGCGGCCCTCCGGTGAAAAAATGGGAACCCCCATTTTGGGTTCAGAAGGGGCCATGGGGGCTGTGTTTGGTGGGTATTTGAATCAGCAAAGTCTTTTTTTGGAGGGGGCTCCACCATTCTTGGACGGGATACGCAAAAATACAAAATGGCTCAACAGAGCGCCACTGAACAACTGCGTTGCTGCCAAAAGACAAACGGCAAAGAGAGAATCACCAAGATCACACTAAGCAATCGGACAGCGGACCTAATTGGTGACCCGAGGTATCCATCCTGCAACAAAATTGAATGATCACTGAGCCACTGAGCTTCTGAAGCCATGTCGGCTGTGCCAGGTCTACAAGCCAAAGAATGTGCCAAGTCTTCGCCATATATTTTTCATTTTGTTTAATGGTCCCATACGGCAAGAGCTATTTCCTGGAGCTTTCCCCTTTGTGCTCGCCGTATTCTTGGGCTTTGGTCCCGCAAGCCATATTCTTGGGCTTCTGCCGCTGGCTCTTGGGAGTTGCTGTCTAATGTCTTCCCCATATCGATAGATGCAGGACCCTATGAATAGGTGTTTTCCAGACCACAAAGTTACAAATACTAAAATAGGATTACTTAGGCACTACTGAGCCACTTCTAAACTCCCATATTTCCCGCCAACCCCAACTCCAGTCGAATTCGGGGATTCTCCGACAGCTCACCCAAAACACTTTGAGCTTCAATAGTGAATTCAAATGCTAAATTGTGAAGTTCATCATGTTGTCTTGCAAAACAAAAATCAATAATTCCAAAATAGGGCCTGGAATGATTCTATCAATCATTCATACTCGGCAAGAAACGATGTTGACGGTTTGTGTGCCGGGCAACGGGGGGACCCCAATTAGGAACCCAATGGACCCCCTGGCACTGTTCTGCCCCGATGAGAATTTCCGTATTGGGTGTGCGGGGGCGCGTAATTATGCATTATTATAGATCGAAGCAAATATCAGTGAGGGAATGCGTCACCGAGCAAGTAACTCATAGCGTACTTCATGACGTAAGTTGGCGTTCAACAATCTCATTGCGCCCTTCCAACTGCGCACGCACGACAACTCAAGCCAAAACTGCAACACCCCCAAACCCGCAGCAAAAGTCAACACCCAAAGCTGAAACCCAGACACACCCGACGAAGAATCGCTTGGAATCGATTCCGATTGCGCGCCTCTGTAAGACCGTGCCGGGGCAGCAGCACCAAACAGGCACCACAGCACCAAGGCAAGTCAAAGAGGCCCATGCCTCAGAAGGACAAACTTATGTTCACGGGGGCTGCTTAATGTTCATGGGGTCTCTGATCAGAGGGGGCTCAGCAGAACTTCCCTGATTGAAAGAAAAGGATCATGTCCTGCGGTCTCGTTTATTTTGGATACAAACCCATGGAAGCCAGCTGCAGGCTGCAGGGATCCAGCAGAAACTTGACCAAAACACGGAAGCAATATGGGCCTATGTGTCGTCACTGCGGATTTTCCGTGCTTCAAGACTTTCAAAAGCCCCAGAAGCTGCACAAAGAGAGTGATGCAGTTTAGCTGCTGCCAAGGCACATGTAGCACCCCAAAACGCTGAGGTGTGGTGTAGAATCCGATCCTGCCAAAGAACCAGCAACCCGAGTATGCCCCAGATCGAATGCTGCCGCATTTCTGGTTTGTTGGCGGCGCGTCGGCATAGGGAATCGCGCAACACTTCCTCAGCATGCAACGAAGCAAGCAGCACACCGAACACAACCCAAGAACGAAAGCACCCCACACACACACACACACATCGAACGGAACCTAGCGCAAAGCTTCAAAGGGCCTTGAAAACTAAGTCATCCTAGCTGCTTGCCAAGCATAGTGCCTTCCATTTCCCCCTCCTCGCAGGTGAGGACGCCAAAATCGGGGTAGGTCCGCAACTCGTGCAGGGCCATTCCTGAGCCGAGCTATGCATCATGGGGCTCTCGGGGCAGAGGAGCTCCAACGAAAGGAGGTTCATCCACAATTCTGAGGGTTGATTCCTCTTCTATTCTTTTCAACAATGGATCTGGAGGGGGGGGGGTGAAAAGGAGGGGGGGGAGGGCAATTCTAGAGGTTGACTCCTCTTCCATTCTTTTCAACCATCCTTCTTTTCAAAAACCGGATCCGTTTCCCTGGGTTTCAAAGGAGGTTTTCTAGAAAGAAGGGTCCCTGGAAAGAATGGAAATGGAAGGTAGCACTAGAACAATTGATGCTTGGTTGGGGTCCATGTTCGTCTGAAGTCTAGGAGCCTTGAATCAGGCCTTGCCTGGCTGGAGGTTCATGTCATGGTCGAAACTCCTTTCCCAAGGGCTGACTGCTGCGTTGGCGGGTCCATCAAGCCAAGAGCCCCTGCGCCCCTAAACATCTGGATTCTGGTGAAACCGGATATCAACCCGCTCATGTGTTGACGATAAACACGCGCCAAACAAATTTAGGTATTTAAGGTATATGTTAAAAGGTGGAAGGAACTGGACTCACTAGATTCCTTGGTAGTCTTGAGTGAGCTATCAAAAATACCTTCGCAGTTCGCAGTCCAAATCTGGGAAGACAAAGGTCTCCGACCACCACGCAACTGCCACCACCCGTGTCCTTTTTCTCGTGGTTTCGGTGTCGCCGGGGCCTTTCTGGATTGGACCTTCCAATTTGTGCCCGGCCCTAGGCGTGGAACTGCCCGGCATCTAAGCGCTCTGCGAACCCGAACCCGAACGGTTCACTTCTCATTCTCTGAGTATTCACCCCAAGGATTCCCGAAGTATTCCCCGAGTAGCCCCAAAATTATTTTCCCTTCGGTATTCCACTAGCATTCCTTTCGTATTCTCTTGGTATACTTGTTAGTATTTTCTCAGTGTTCCCCTTGTATTTCCTTAATATTCTCAATAATTCTCTAGTTTGGCCCTATAGTATTGTTGCATATGTTTTTGGTATATCAGTAGTCTCCTAATATTCCCCTCATTTTTCGAGTATTTCCTTAGTACTTCCCAATACTCAGCCTCAGTATTCCCTACCACTTGTCTGTTCTCCCCTCAGTATTCCCCTGCCTCTGCACTATTTCTAGTGTGCGAATATAAAGGACCTAGCTGCGTCTTTGCAGCATCCCTTGAGAAAGAGAAGTCTGCCAGGGAAATGGTCCAAACAAGAACAACAAAGACGCTGGGAAACCCCAGCAAATGTAAAACAACCACAACAATCAACAACCCTGGCGACAAAGGGTAGTGTATAACCAAAATATTTCCCTCGGGACTTGGTTGTTTGATTGATTGTTTGATTGTTTGTTTGTTTGCTTGTTTGCTTATTTTCTTCGAGTTTGTGTTTTTGAACATGGTAGTCCTTGGGGTATTTGGCATGACCAACATATTTCCCTCAGGACTTTTGCTTGTGACTTGTCTTGCCTTTTGTGGAAATGGGGACATCCCTTGCAGGCCCTGCAAGAGTGCGCACGCGAGGAAGACTCTGGTTTTGTGTGCACCCAACATGTCTTCGTGTTCCCTTAAGTCACACTTGCAGGATTCCCCCAAAAAAACACATTGACATGGTTCAAAACCAATGGTACCATTTTGGGGTAGGTGAATTCAACACCCATTGTAGTCTATTTTAGTGGGGATTGGGATGTTCACCGGGGATATGGGGTTTTGACCCATGGCCACATGCATACGGCCGGCCCGGGTTCAAAAAACAGCGCCCAGGCGCTCGCTGGGTCGTTGGGGCCGCTCAGCGTGGAACACCATCGGGTACCGCCCAAGGTCCAGCAAAAAGACACACTTGGGCGTGTCTTGTTTTGAGGGACTCGTTTTGGTAAGCGAAACCAACAGCCAAACCGCAATGGTTGGGGTCGTTTGGGGGGGGTTAAAGCGAAACCAAAAGCAAAACTGTAATGAGTGGCCAGGTTGCTGAGATATTCTATCCTCTTGCCCCCAAGCAAGGGTGGCAACTTAGGGAGAACGCCAGACTCCCGACAAGCAGGAGTGCTACTCTGGGCAGACATTGCTTCAACATGTGCGGGTTGATCAAAAGGTCCGAAATACATGGGATGACCATTGGCGAAACCCACTAAACAAATGATATGTCCCGCTCAATGGGAAAAGCTATGCATGGTCATTTGGGGGCCAGGAATATTGTTCAAGCCCCATGTTGAAGCCAAGGCTCTGTGCGTTTGCACCACGCATTTGGACGCGGCTGTAGTGCCGCCTGGGGATCAACGGATGGATATGGATGGATGGAAAAAACGTAGGCGCCTCGATTCTTGGACTCTCAAGCAGACTGCTGGTTGAATACACGCACGATAAAGACTAGTAACCATGTGAGCCTGAAACAAGGGATTCCCAAGAGCAACAAATACTGAGGTCCTGAGAAACAAACTCTGACTTTGACAGGTCATTATTTTGCTTTGTCCTGGCTGTGCTTGCAGCAAGCCACTCCTGATGTTTGCGCGCGCCTGTGTAGACCAAGTATAAAGCGTCGTCCAAGCTTCGTTTGCGAGGCTGAAAGGGTGCCTGGCGCAACATGGTGAGCCTGAATCACCAAGTGTTGTTCCAGACTTTCTGCGATACGAACGGCCATCTTTCTGACTTTGCCATTTTCAAGCAAGGTCCCTGATCGCAGAAAGCTGCCCTACCAAAGAAGCCAGCCCAACTGCCCCCCCCCCAAAAAAAAAACAAAGAAAGAAGAAAAACAGAAGAGCTACGGGCCAGTATCCCCCCAGAAAAAAAAATGACAAGAAAACAAAAAAAAAAAAACGACCCTTTGTTGAGCCCGACTTCAACCTCAGCCTCTCTGTAGCTGGAGCTCCCGGCTTCGGGTCTCGTAAACCCAGTGCTTCCAGGCATGCCAGTGGAAACCAAGAGGAACCATACAAAGAGCCTGGTAGGAAACCCCGAGCGGTCTTCTCCTGTGGTAACTGGGTGGTTCTTTTGATCTCTACAAACAACCCTTGAAAACCCGCACAGTATTGCGGTGTGTGTGTGTGTGTGTGTGATGACCCAACACCCGAAAGCCCGCAAATTACATGTACGTGTGTGTGAGTTCCCCCTGCATGACCCCTAAAAATGGGTACGCCCTGCAGCTCACCTCCTGGAGAAGCTCTTCGGCATAGACCAAAGGGATGTCCCCAGCTGCCGACCTCAGCCGCTCCGTCGCGGCAACAAATCGCAAGTGGAGGTTTGAGGGGGCGGGTTCCCTTGAACCACAAAAAATAGGATCCAGCCACCTGGCAGTCTTGACATCTGCTTTGAGGGTGCTTCTGAAGGGCGGAACCCCGCGGCAAGCCATGGGCGAGTGTGAGGGCGTCAGTTTGTATTTGGTTTCTTTAAGGGTGCCATTTGTCAGGCTGGTTTCAAAGGAAAACCAAAAGGACAACCACGTTTTGTTGGGGTGCCCCTAGTTTCGACACACACACACAGACACACCCATAGACCCGGCGGGAACAAATGAGTCGAGGTCGGCTTGGTGGATGATGTGCGTGAGCGGGTGATTTAATTCCAGCACTAATCCAAAGCTAAGCCCCGCGACCCCAGGATCAAACAGCTTGTGAAGGATTTCAGGGGTGACACTAAAACTGCTTGAGGGATGCTTTAAACATCCAATACTCTCTCGCCAATGAAGTAAGGTAGCATGACTGGCACGGATTGAGACAATCGGTTTGACCCAACCATTGATGACTTGGCCAGTCTCCCACCACCCTCTGATTCTCAAGGGTGTGATTGCAAATGTACAAGGCAACCTTGCTGGGCTGTCCAAACTGGAGGGATCCCAAACTCGAATCCGTGATGCGGAATATAGCAACAAGGGCAGCCATTTCCTGTCTACAGTTGTGACCTGCGCTGTCAGCCTAATTGGCGCTCTGTCGATATTGTGTTTTGTGTTAATGGTTTTGCTTCGTTTGCTTTGTACGATTCACATTTACAATTTCAACACGATGTCCGCATCATTTATGTTTTTTTTTTTTTTTTTTTACATTATGATTACATGTTTTTCCCCCAAGCGTAAAGTCATCGCACGTGAAAGCAGGGGTTGCAAAAATATCTTATTAAAAACGTAGTAACCAGCGTAACAAAACATAAATGCCAATCACAACAAAATCGTATCTAAATCGCAACAAACAAAACTGGGCTTCCCTTGACTTAGCCTACACCGCACAAGTTTTAAGTACAATGTTGTTGGTAATTAACTTCTGAAACAACTTCACATGTTCTACATCAATCACACCATCTGGTATGGGGATGAAGGACACCTAACCATTGCAGTATACTAAATGTCCCGTGTGATGCTTCCTGGTTGCCCCCCATGGCTTGCCTCTCCCTGAAATCCCATTGTTTTTCTCGCATGAGGCCCACGCAGCAGCGGCTTCGCAGCGCGGGCGCCGCTCAAGGCGCGCTCCAAGACCAGCAGCCTGCCAGTGATCCGCGTCCACCGCATCTGCGACTTCTGAAACAGGGATCATTACATTATACACCTGAACATTGCCTTGCAAATGGTGGTTTCTCTGTATGTTGGTGGAAAAGGCCATGTTTCAATTGGGCAAAATCTATCTTTTAAGGAGCCCTGTCACACGCCCCTAAAACAGGATGAGCTCGTGATAAACATGTTCAGCTGCCACGATGCTACACATCTCCAGGAAAAAGATGCATACCCAAATGGGCTAGCATTGAAATCTAAAGTTCGCCGAACGCAAAGTGTCAGGCAGTGATATCAACGCGACCATGTCCGCATGCTTAATCTGGATTTGCCTGGCTATGGGTTAACGCTAGGTACCCAAAAATGGAACCCTGGTAAATGGACTCGCTACAACCTTAGAAATACCGAGCAGAGATTCAAAGGCTCAAGAAAAGAACCAATGAGGAACAAGCAACGTTGGAAAACTGGGTTCATTCCCTTCGACCTTGTGTTCGACACCCAAAGTTTCAGCCAAGCGGTCACTTCTGATCAATCTGGCTGGCAGGCATGCGCAACTCTGCACCATCCACACACTCCGCGCCATACGCCCAGAGAGATACGTTACTTTGTTGGCTGCAATGTCCTGGAGGCAACCCACCTTAGCGTTTAACAAAGGATTCGAATCATTCCAATCGAGCGCTCGGCACTCAGCCACCATTGCTGGGTGGCTTTTTCTTGCGAACTCGGGGGCGGTGAGTCTTGGCAGCCATACCGCTGCCAAACAACAAGTCAGAGCACACATCCAGTCCGCATCCCCCGGCCAAAACCACAAAAAACAACGTCCAGCTAGGTCGGCCCGGTCAGCCCCGTCAACCCGTACCACCCCACCCAACCACTCAATTGGGGAGGGGAGGGCCCCTGACCTGGATCTTTTTTACTTGGCTGGATGCTCAAGCATATCAATTACTCATCCCCAGTTGGCTTTCCCTTTGGGACAATTACAAGTACTTATGGGCAGCTAGTTGTCATATTTTGCCCTTTTGGTCACCCAGTTGGGTGGGGATCAAATGCGGGATTCCTTTTTGGTTTCCCTTTACAGCCACCAACCAGGAGTCATTGCCCTAATAAAAACAGGACAGACCCCAGTCATCCGACAATTCCACGGCGTCGCAAAGGCCTGGGCCGGTGCTCTGCAATGGCTTCCGCGTTCCGGGCCACCTGGTTGCCGGCAACGGCAACCATTCTCGGGGTGGGGCCTACCTGAGCCCCCGCTTGGGTGTTCATACCACATGGCCACGGTTCAACACCAATGGGATACCATTTTAGGTGCACCACCCATTTTAGAACCGATTTTAGTGGTTGGATTGGGATGTTCACTGGGGGTACGGGGTGTTGACCCATGGCCATATCACCCTCCCACCCAAGGTGGAACCGTTCGAGGTTCGGGGCGTGGAAGGTCATTTTCCTTCGTCAACTAAGGTACCCTCCAATGAAACACGTGGAAGCGTTCGACGTTCAGGAGGTCCTGGTTTGGGCGGTTCTCCTCTTAAAGGGACCCCCGAACGTCGGGTTCCATGTTGATTGGTGGAGGGTAGGTTATAGCCGTGGTAAGGGGACGATCACCCCAGTAGCCCCAACTGCAACCATGGTTGTGACCTACCAAGTTGGTTGAGCATTCAAGCAGTGATGTCAAGAGAAAAAAGGGATCACTTGTCTGGCTTGACCGTTGGTCAAGCCAACCCACCAAACAAAACGTCACATAATAATACCACTGAACAGTTGGGAAAGCATAGACACGTACAGAATAGCGCCGAGCACCTCAAAAGGACGCAAATGGGTGTTATGTTCAACAGGGGACCCTTTGCTGGACATCCTTTAGTTGGGGATTCATGTCCACCAACTAGCTCGCCAAGAAGGCCCTGGTAAGCTATGGGGCAAGACTCAGGTCTACATTTGGGCCGTACTTCAGGCTCCCGAATCCCGCAGGCGAAGCTTGCCCAAGGAAGCTCCAGAAAAGCCCCCCAGCTGAACCACCCCCATGCCTCCTCCTCGCTGTCCAGGTCAGAGCTCAATGCGAGCCTGGGACCCCCAAAACCGGCGAGATGAATGAAGGCAAGGTCTCGGGAACTAACCAAAGGTGCCAACATTTGGGATGGCCAAAATTGCAAAACAATTGCCTCAACGAATCTGCTTTTTGACGAAGGCAGTGACCAAAGGTGGGAAAAGGACTGTAAGGCTGTACTTTTCACCATTTCACCCGCATTCTATTTGGAGGCAGGGTAGATGGAATATTTGTTGGGGGCTGTGACTATGGGGAGCCACACCCTGGAAACCAAAAGCGACGCGCGTGCTGGAGTGATCATTCTGATTCAGCCTGACGACTATCAGTGACCAAAAGTGACCAGGTGTTGTTAACCATGGCCCCGATTGCAAGTCGGCTCAGCAGAAAGCTTGGGGTCCTAAAAAAAGGATTCAGCACATGGTGTACTGCATTGCCAACCTTAAAACAAGTCTTTTCCATTGTGCGGCGCCTCCCAGAAAAGCCTCCCACCCCCCCGAAAGGAAAGGAACTTGGGAAAGCACCCTTAGCTTCAATTGGCCTATCACCATTCTCAGGGGCCCTCAAAAGAAGTCCCCCCCACCCTCAAAGGAAAGGCGAGCAAGCCCTGGGCCTTGCAATTAGCCCCCCCTCCAAGAAAAGGAACTCCGGAAAGCGGCCTTCGTTTCAATTCGCCTATCCGGATTGATCCCGGCGAGCCCACCATGGGCAAAGTACAGACCATGGGCCCCTGGCACGCTGGTAATGCGCATCGCCGCAAGGCAGGCGGCCACCCAAAGGCAGTTTCGCCGCAGGAGCACGACCTCCGAGGCACAATGCGCGTTCCCTGCAAGCCAAAAAGCCAAAACAGGGGGGGGGGCATGATTTGATCTACAAACCAGGGTGTTATTGAATGCAAGTTTCGAGCCGTTGTTTCCAGGAAGCATGAGCGGAACATTGCGCGTGAGTCCTTATTTGGACACACTTCACATGTTGCATGTAGGGAACTGCTAGAGAAAGAACCATTGGAGTGCAACCGGGCTGTCGGAAAAAAGGGCGACGTCCAGGCAAAGCTGTACCCGTTCAGGACGAGGCTGTGAAAACTATACGGCTCACTTCCTCTCATGTGAACCAACTGTTCCCCCAACAAAATACCCCCCCAGGCTAACATGGAAGCTCCCGGGACCCCTTTGGTTCTATTTACGCAGGCCTTCTGGGAGCTGCCATGTTAGTCTGAGAAAGGGAAATCAGTCGAAAGAAGCAAACACGGTAGTTGCCAAACAGTGGAAAGACATGTTCACATTCTGAGTTGTATTACATCGCGTCCAGCTTCAGCACAGGTTGATATGTGTTGCTTATCGACATGGAAGGCAAACCTCTCCCACTGCATCCGTGGCATAATATGGGAAATGGTCAATCATTGCCTTCAAGCTTCTTCTAGACAACCGATACTCCAACCCTTCAAGAGGACAGGGAAAACTGTTGTGATACCTTTGCAATCGTGGGAACTCCGCATGTGTCCACTGGCTTGCCGGGTCTCGTGAAAAACACACGCAGCTTTTCAAGCAGGCATCCCGGAGGTTTGTCGTTCTAAGCATATGGAAACCTCGTCATTTTCATGTTCCCTACTGTGGATGGACAAAATCCTGCACCACTTTGAGACCAAGAGAAACCATTGCTTGTTGGTATTTACAGGGGAATCATCATTCAAGGGTTTCTTTGGTGGTGCAGGATTGCGTCCATCCACAGTATGTAGCAAAGGCAGGGCGCATGGGCTCCGGTTCCCTTCCATAAGCCGCAGCGAGTAACAGGTCACCGACCATATGTTTCTTCGCTGGATGAGTGGGGCAGCTAATCATTCTAAGCCCACCGCCGCACATTGAATGAGAGAACCCCAAACCACTGACCCAATTGCAAAACTGATGGGCAACCTGAATCTGATACCCTTGCAGTTTCCTGCCATGAGTCAAGACAATGTGTCCTTCCGCCATGGTCAAACCTCTTGCCGGACATGGTCCTGGCTCCCTCAACAGGAATGGCGGTCTAAATTCCAACCGCTAGACTCAGTTGCCCCTTAAAAGCCTGAGAATAACAGGTTAAGCTTTTCAGCTCTTGACTAAACATGGACCAACTCAGGGAAACCCAATTAGAGCAAAGCGGCATTCCCGTCCCCACTCAGAACAAGTGGCAACCGCAAACCAGCGATTCTCCGCATTGGTTTCCTAAAGCTCAGATCCGGTCGATTCGCTTGCGTGTGAGTCCAACTTAGGGCCCCAGCAATGGGGGCATCATCCTCACCTGCGCAGGTGAGCGCGCGAGCGTGAAAGTAAGATTAGGGCCCACTCAGGCGTTGGGTGGGGTGGGGTTGGGTGGGGTGGGGTGGGGTGGGGTGGGGTGGGGTGGGGTGGGGTGGGGTGGGGTGGGGTGGGATGGGGTGGGGTGGGGTGGGATGGGGTGGGGTGGGGTGGGATGGGGTGGGGTGGGGGTGGGGTGGCGGGGGGGGGGGGGTTGTTCTTGATTTGCTGTGTTGTGATTAAGTTTAAATCAAACACCTGACCCAGACCATTAGGCAGTTTTCACCAAACAACGGTTTTCAAACCAAGCTCCTGGTTGAAACCATGGAAGGGGGAACAACACGCAGCTCACATCAAGACAGCAAGGGTCCAAGATTGGACACATTGTGCCTCTGGTATCGACAATAAGAGTTGGGGCACGTGGTGTTTCCAGTGAAGCTGTGGGTTGATGGATGCCGGTCTCACGTAAAATAGAGAACCACTGTCACAAATGATGAACATATTCTGAGTTGCTTTATTTGATGTCTTCCAGTTCTAGGAATCACACAACCCCTCTGCGTGCGCGCAGAATCAAGTGCAGGTGATCAGAACGATGGAAAGCGATTTCAACCAGATACATCATATGCCTCTTTGTTATTGAAAATTCCCCTTTTGGAGTGGTTTCAAAGGGGAATGAAAGGGAAACCAGCAACTACAAACAATCGCTATAGACGGTCGAAACATGACAGAAAACTGTACAGGCCCCAGTGCGGTTCGACCGCATGTCCAACCCAGGGCCCAGAAAGAGGGACAAAAGGAAGGCCTAGGGAGCATGCGTCGGAAAGCTCAGAAGACCAAAACTCAGGTTTTTAAGTGACACACCCACAGCCCCGCCTTGACCCAAATTGGCAAGCATGTTGCCAGCCATTCGGAGAGATGCCTATCGGCGGAGAACTAAATAGAAATTCTCAAAATATGGGACCCCTTTTTGTATGGATTTGAAGGGAAACCGACAGGAAACCACCTACGTGGAGGGGTCCGCAATTTTGAGAAACAAATCATAAAAAACTAGAATAGGTTGGGATACTTAAAAAGCCAAAGTAAGTCATGAGCTCGGAGCAATATGTCAACCGTTTAGGCCCTGCTAAATCCTGTCATCCTTTGGGTGAGCAGCAGTGGAAATCCCAAAATCTAAGAGAGGCGGTTCCCTTTCCTGTGAAGCCCTGTATGTGCCTTTTGTATCGTCTCCATTGGGACCAGTCTCCGAGATGGTTGCTGCGCATGTCTCTCTCACCAAGCTAAACACATAGTGAAAACTTTATTCTATCCAGTCAGTTGCGAAAGCTACCAAACCAGATTGCGGGGATTGCTCAGGATGCCTTTGCAAATGTGATCAGTTGCTTGCAATATCATAGTGGTGCCCCTTGATGCGACATGCTTGCCAACAACATCCATCTCCATTGACCAATTTGGGGGGGGGGGGCTGACACTTCACAAACAGTGATAGCAGAAATCAATTATATAGACCAATGCGGGGGGGGGCAAAAAAAAGAAGTTCAGCAAGCACGGTGCTGCCTGTTTCACTTGAACGACTCAAGTGCGACCATCGCCGATTATTGTGGCCATGGAATACCTAAGGACCTGCAACGACAGCCCTCATCTTCCTGTGATGTGGTGACATCTCTCAAAAGACCCAAACAAATAATCAAAAAACACAAAAAACAGATACGGCTGTTGCCATGAAGCACGAACATTGCAAGACCACCAACCGCGGCGGAGGCAGTTCCAAGACTCCGAGGATGATTACACAAACACTCTCAAAAGGTTGACAATAATTGACACTGGACATATGGCAACAATAGGGGCACCTCCCGATGGTACGTATCTTGGGGTTTCATTGCCACTGGAAATATGGCAACACCAGGGACACCTCCTGATGGATGTTCGGCTTCATGCCGGTTATTCCTTTCTCCTGAACTAGGTCCTCCAGAGAGGTTAGAATAAGGGTGCACTTTTTTTCTGTAGTCTATTTTAGTAGGGAACCCTCCCCCCTAAAAAGGGGTAAAAGGGTACTGGAAAACCTAGTGAAGCAAAGCAGGCACTCGTGAGAGACACAGACACAGTCAGCTGGCAGGTGCACCTCCTGAAGCTGTCGGTATGTCCAGGTGCTGGACTCGTCCTGGGCCAAGACACATGTTAGAGCGTGGACAAATCACATAGATATATCATGGGGGCTGGTGGGGAATTGCACAAATAGGGGTTCTGGCTTGTATTTAAGACATGTGCTTGAGAATAAGGGTTGCTAAGACATGTGATTTGACAATCCGGATGCAAAATGGCCCCTGCGCTTTTTTGGGCTGATCGGAAAATGCGAGCTCCAACAATCACAAAAAAACAGCGTCGGCAAGTATTGAAGCTATGCTGCAATACTCCGGCAACTCCCTCGCCAGCTGTGTCGTGCACATCGCAAACCACATTGTTTGTGTAATGCAAATGGAAAACGACAACGTTGCTCTCAGCCCCCCCAAAAGCAAGTCATCTATGCACATGCAGTATGTGGAAACCCTACGTGTGTCCTACCCCTAGGAACGGGCGATGAATGGCAAACATGGTCGAAGGGTTGGCATCGAGCGTCCTTCAAGTAGGCACTCAACGATAGAAACAATGTTCTGTGTGGCTTGGCTGTGCCTGTCTAGTCTACATGAGAAAACAGAGCACAAACCAAGTTAGAAATTGGGAAACCCCCAAAAGGGAACCAACTAAAAAAATCTGAAACCCATCCGGGCAAATACATGCCAAACCTCACGTCACCTGTGATTTGGATTGGTTGGGATTGGACCTCACTGGTGGGCACACATGTCTTAAGATGGACCCCGCTTGATGAAGTTCTACTTGTTTCCCTGACGAGAGAAGGGTTCCCTCAAAGAAACACCGTGAGGAACCAAGGAGAAATCGCGAAGGTGGCAAACTGAGGACACACACACACAAGCGTCCATGTGCTAATTACACGACACGGGGCACACAGAGAAACACATAGCACAAACCAAAAGGAGAGCAGAAGAGAAATCACGAAGGTGGCAAACGGAGAACGCAGACACAAACGTCCATATACTCCACGACACGACAAGGGGCATGCAGATGAGGGAAGGGAAAACGCAAAGCACACACCAAAAGGAGAGGAGGGGAGAAATCACGAAGGTGGCAAACAGAGAACACACACAAACGTCCATATACTTTACGAGAAGGGGCATACAGAGAGGGAAGGGAAAACGCAAAGCACAAACCAAAAGGAGAGGAGGGGGAAACTCACGAAGGTGGCAAACGGACGACACACGCAAACGTCTATATACCTCAAACTTCAAACCAAGAGGAGAGGAGTGGAGAAACAATTGCTTTTCATGTTGACAAATTCGCAGTCCGCCCAGCTGTTTACAAAAAACAGTTTTTGTATACGGCCGGCGCCCCCCCCCATGACAAGAACAAATCCATAATGACACGCAAAAATCCTTAATTACAAGCAGGTGCTTCTAATTAAGGATGTTGACAAGAAAACCATCCTTAATGACAAGCAAAAATCCTTAGTAAAGGATTGTTGACCAGCAAAAGTCCTTAATGAGCACGTGAAAATCCTTGCTTCAAAATAGATTTTTTGACAAGCACAAATGCTTTATGACAAGCAAGAATCCTTAATTACAAGCAGGTGCTTGCAATTAAGGATGTCTGACCAAAAAACAACCTTAATGACAAGCAAAAATCCTTGATGACAAGCAAAAACCCTTAATTACAAGCAGGTGCTTGAAATTGAGGAAGTTTGACAAGCAAAAATCCTTAATGACAAGCAACAAACCCTTAATTGCAAGCAGGTGCTTGTAATTCAGGATTTTTGACCAGCAAGAATCCTTAATGGCAAGCAACAAAACCTTAAATTACAAGCAGGTGCTTGTAATTAAGGATGGTTCACCACCAAAAATCCTTAATGACAAGCAACAATGCTTGTAATTAAGGATTTTTGACCAGCAACAATCCTTAATGACAAGCAACAAATCCTTAATTACAAGCACCCGCTTGTAATTAAGGATTTTTGACAAGAAACAGATCCTTAATGACACGCACAAATCCTTAATTACAAGCAGGTGCTTGTAATTAAGGATTTTTGACCAGCAAAAATCCTCAATGACAAGCAAACATCCTTAATTACAAGCAGGTGCTTGTAATTAAGGATTTTTGACCAGCAAAAATCCTTAATGACACGCAACCATCCTTAATTACAAGCAGGTGCTTGTAATTCAGGATTGTTGACCAGCAAAAATCCTTAATAACAAGCAACAATCCTTAATTACAAGCAGGTGCTTGTAATTAAGGATTTTTGACAACAAACAGATCCTTAATGACACGCACAAATCCTTAATTACAAGCATGTGCTTGCAATTAAGGATTTTCGACAAGAAACAGATCCTTAATGACACGCACAAATCCTTAATTACAAGCACCCGCTTGTAATTAAGGATTTTTGACAAGAAACAGATCCTTAATGACACGCACAAATCCTTAATTACAAGCACCTGCTTGTAATTAAGGATTTGTGACCAGCAAAAATCCTTAATGACAAGCAAACATCCTTAATTACAAGCAGGTGCTTGTAATTAAGGATTTTTGACCAGCAAAAGTCCTTAATGACAAGCAAACATCCTTAATTACAAGCAGGTGCTTGTAATTAAGGATTCTTGACCCCCAACAATCCTTAATGACAAGCAAACATCCTTAATTACAAGCAGGTGCTTGTAATTAAGGATTCTTGACCAGCAAAAATCCTTAATGACAAGCAAACATCCTTAATTACAAGCAGGTGCTTGTAATTAAGGATGTTTGACCAGCAAAAATCCTTAATGACAAGCAAACATCCTTAATTACAAGCAGGTGCTTGTAATTAAGGATTTTTGACCAGCAAAAATCCTTAATGACAAGCAAAAATCCTTAATTACAAGCAGGTGCTTGTAATTAAGGATTTTTGACCAGCAAAAATCCTTAATGACAAGCAAAAAACCCTAATTACAAGCAGGTGCTTGTAATTAAGGATTGTTGACCAGCAAAAATCCTTAATGACAAGCAAACATCCTTAATTACAAGCAGGTGCTTGTAATTAAGGATTTTTGACCAGCAAAAATACTTAATGACAAGACAAAATCCTCAATTACAAGCAGGGGCTTGTAATTAAGGATTTTTGACCAGCAAAAATCCTTAATGACAAGCAAACATCCATAATTACAAGCAGGTGCTTGTAATTAAGGATTTTTGACCAGCAAAAATCCTTAATGACGAGAAAAATTCCTTAATTACAAGCAGGTGCTTGTAATTAAGGATTTTTGACCAGCAAAAATCCTTAATGACAAGCAAACATCCTTAATTACAAGCAGGTGCTTGTAATTAAGGAGTTTTGACCAAAAAATCCTTGACAAGAAAAAATCCTTAATTACAAGCAGGTGCTTGTAATTAAATATTTTGACCAGCAACAATCCTTAATGACAAGCAAAAATCCTTAATTACAAGCAGGTGCTTGTAATTAAGGATTTTTGCAAAAATCCTTAATTACAAGCAAACATCCTTAATTACAAGCAGGTGCTTGTAATTAAGGATTTTTGACCAGCAAAAATCCTTAATGACAAGCAACCATCCTTAATTACAAGCAGGTGCTTGTAATTAAGGATTTTTGACCAGCAAAATCCTTAATGACAAGAAAAAATCCTTAATTACAAGCAGGTGCTTGTAATTAAGGATTTTTGCTGGTCAAAAATCCTTAATTACAAGCAAACATCCTTAATTACAAGCAGGTGCTTGTAATTAAGGATTTTTGACCAGCAAAAATCCTTAATGACAAGCAACCATCCTTAATTACAAGCAGGTGCTTGTAATTAAGGATTTTTGACCAGCAAAAATCCTTAATGACAAGCAAAAATCCTTAATTACAAGCAGGTGCTTGTAATTAAGGATTTTTGACCAGCAAAAATCCTTAATGACAAGCAATCATCCTTAATTACAAGCAGGTGCTTGTAATTAAGGATTGTTGACCAGCAAAAATCCTTAATGACAAGAAAAAATCCTTAATTACAAGCAGGTGCTGTAATTAAGGATTTTTGACCAGCAAAAATCCTTAATGACAAGAAACAATCCTTAATTACAAGCAGGTGCTTGTAATTAAGGATTGTTGACCAGCAAAAATCCTTAATGACAAGAAACAATCCTTAATTACAAGCAGGTGCTTGTAATTAAGGATTTTTGACCAGCAAAAATCCTTAATGACAAGCAAAAATCCTTAATTACAAGCAGGTGCTTGTAATTAAGGATTTTTGACCAGCAAAAATCCTTAATGACAAGCAAACATCCTTAATTACAAGCAGGTGCTTGTAATTAAGGATTTTTGACCAGCAAAAATCCTTAATGACAAGCAAAAATCCTTAATTACAAGCAGGTGCTTGTAATTAAGGATTTTGACCAGCAAAAATCCTTAATGACAAGCAAAAATCCTTAATTACAAGCAGGTGCTTGTAATTAAGGATTTTTGACCAGCAAAAATCCTTAATGACAAGAAAAATCCTTAATTACAAGCAGGTGCTTGTAATTAAGGTTTTGTGGCCTTTGTGTCCCCCACGTCTCAAGGAGCGTCCGCAATTACTTCCTTAGTCTCGGCCAGCCGGACCAACTTCAATCTCTAGGCCATGGACGCTAGCCCTGCGCACTGGTAAAGCAGTTTGCGCGAGGAAAACACGAATCCGATAGGCAAGAAACCGTAGTTACAGGAAAAATCCAGATTTTCGAGGAAAAAACCTGATTTGCAAGCAAAAATCCTTATTCGCAAGCAAAACTCCTTTTTCGCAGAACGAACCTTTAATGACGAGCAAAATTCCTTAATGACAAGCAACAATCCTTAATTACAAGCAAAAATCCTTAATTACAAGCATGTGCTTGTAATTAAGGATGTTCGCTTTTTTGCGTCCCCCGCTTTTCAAAAACAAAAGCCGCAAATCCTGGTTTTGGACCGAAAACTGGGGGACAGACCCTCAATTCTGTCCCCCAGTTTTCGGTCCAAAACCAGGATTTTCATGTTTTTTTTGTCTGAAAAGTGGGGGACACAAAAGCCAAAAAATCTTAATTACAAGCACCTGCTTGTAATTAAGGATTTGT